TCTCTCTCTCTCTCTCTCTCTCTCTCTCTCTCTCTCTCTCTCTCTCTCTCATTTCTTTCTTTTGTTCATGCAGGCCAACATAGAATTATCCATCGCGATATCAAGGCTGCAAACATTCTACTAGACTACAATTATGAAGCCTTGGTAAAATGAGTCGCGTTTTCTTTATGTATAAACTTACATTGTCATGTGTTTTTATTTTTCACTGAATAGGTCAATGAAAATAAGCAAAATAAGTTTTGATTTAAGACCACGTAATATTGTTTAAGAATGATTTAATAACCATGAAATTGAATGTTTTTTGTTATCAGGTGGCAGATTTCGGGTTGGCTAAGCTTACCTCTGATAATAATACTCACGTCTCGACTCGTGTTATGGGAACATTCGGGTGAGTCAAACATAATTTTTTTTTGGTGAAAGTTGTCATATAAAACTTCTATTCTGAAATTGGACAATTAGAACCAGTTATATACAGAAAGTTGGCTAAATAATAAGTCTCTAAGCAAGAAAATTACTTTGTAACAACATATTGCAGGTACTTGGCTCCTGAATATGCATCCAGTGGAAAGCTAACAGAGAAATCAGATGTGTTTTCATATGGAGTCATGCTGTTGGAACTCATAACCGGGAGGCGACCTGTTGATCCTAATGATAAATACATGGAAGACAGCTTAGTAGATTGGGTTTGTTCTAGATCCACAGTTCCCACATCTTAAGCTTTATGATTTGATTGTGATAAGATGTTAAATTATATGCTTAGACTTTTATCTTTTGCTTTAGTTGTTGATCTAATATATGGTTGTATACAGGCTAGGCCGCTTCTTACAAGAGCACTGGAAGAGGGAGTATATGACGGATTGGTAGACGTGCGCCTTGAAGGAAACTATGATACAGATGAGCTACATCGCATGGTAGCCTGTGCTGCTGCTAGCATTCGCCATTCTGCTAAAAGACGCCCTAAAATGAGCCAGGTGTGATTGCCCTAATAATTTTTTCACTACAATTTAACATGTTGTAGCAGATAGTACGTCTTCCTTATTTATTTCCAGGTAACTAGTTCCACTTATAAATGTTTATTCTGAACAGATTGTACGTACCTTAGAAGGCAATGCATCGTTGGAGGACTTGAACGATAGCGCAAGACCTGGAAAGACACCTAGCTTTGCGGCCTCAAGCGGGGCGACCCAGGCCTATGATACTGCTATGTATAATGCTGACATGATGAAATTCAGGAAAATGGTTATGACAACTCAAGAATTCAACAACGGTGAACATGGAAGTACTCCAAGTGAGTAAAGGCTCAACCCTTACTCTCCTCCTCGGGCAGTGACTGCAGAGATTTTGGTGCCTCGGGGAGACGAGAGTTATTAAAAGGAATGAACTGCTGCTTTGCTTAAGGTTCACCTGAAGCTTGAGAATTTTTTTCAAATGGTTCTTGACTGGAATCGGTAACAGAGATTTGAGATAAATTTTAACAATGTCTATGATGTACATTTACTCATATCTTGATTTGAATAACAAAGTTTATAGGATCAGAATGCATTTATGCTTTTTTGCTTAATTCAATTTGTACAGCAGTTCACATACAATTTCTACTGAAATGCTGAAAACCCTTCAGTTAACAATATAGTGATATATGCCTGCTAGTATACTAGTAGTATGTTACTCCTATATTTTATGTTTTAAAGTTTTTTCCTCTGTAACTACAAAATAATTTATGTACCAAAAGCTTGTCTATTGTGAATGATTTATTTTTTACTTTATCATAGGTTCAGTGAGGAAGATTTCATTGTGCTCACAAAGATGCACAACAGTTTCTACCTGATAGAAAATAATTTTGATATCTCAAAAAGAAATATTCCTCAACTATGTCTAGATTCATTTTCTTACTATAATATTAATGAGTCTTTATTATAGTAATTATTTTAAATATATTTGTAACAGAAAATTAGTTTAATTTTGAATTCAATTTGGGACAAAATAATCTGATTAGTGTGGAATGTTTGTAAGGCCCCGTAAAAAAAATTGCTTAAAAACCCGGAATTTCGTGGTGCCGAGTTAGGCTTATGTGTTTAAGATTATTGAGACGTACGGACTTTTTGGGTTAAACAATGCACCGGGGAGTTAAAGAAAAATGTTGGCAGAATAAGGCATTTCTGCGTCCCACTATGCGGTCGCAGAATCACTCTGCGGGCCGCAGAATGGCCGCGGAGTGAGGCAGTCATTTGGGCCATATTTGATGTCACTTTTGCGGCCCATTATGCGACCCCAGAACTATTTCGCAGGCCGCACTTTGATCGCATATCCAACCTCGAGATTTCTCAAATGGTGGTTCTGCGGCGCATTATGCGACCGCAGAACAGGTCTGCGGACCGCAGACTGGTCGCATACCGAAGCAGAAAATTCCAGTTCCGGAGGGCTATTGTGCGACCCATTTTGCGGACCGTGCGACGGCAGATCTGTGCTGGGGCTCCTAATTTCTAATTTTTAAACCCGATCCTATGTCGATAAAACATATGCCATAGTCTATTTTGAGCTCATTTTCTGATACGATAGAGTGGGATAAAGTGCCCTAGAGTGAGAAAGTGATCTTCATCAACTACTCTTCAATTCTTGCTTAAAACTTTGAAGATTATCCAGGAAAGCAACCTAGGTCTTCATCCTAAAGGTAAGAATCTATACCCTAGCCCTAAATTTCGTAATTTAAACTGAAAATGAGTAATTAATAAGATGATTCATGGTGTATGAGAGTTGTTTATCTTGCATGCATGTGTGATAAAAGAGTGTAGGGAGAATGTGAGGTAAAAATGGTGATGAATGGACTGTGGGACGACGAAACCTTCCATAAAAAGGACCTTGAAACCTTAATACACACTTAGTGCTTGATAAAATGCTCAAGTGAGCTAGAACCATGAACGTTTTCCTAATTTTTGGTTCATTTTGTTATACTGCTAAAATAGATTAAAGTTGCTAAGAGCTCCGGATAATTGTAGAGTTTAAAGAAGTTCAATTGAGGTATGTACGGCTAAAAAACCCTCTTCTTAGAATTGAAACCCATGGTGCTCATGTCCCAAATTGATAGTTATAGAATTGCTATTCCAAATGTGCTTGTGTTGAAAAATATATGTGCAATATGTATTCCAAGGCTTTCATCATGCTATGTTATTACTTGAGAATGTGTTCAAAGTATAGACTGCGTGTCAGAAAAATGTTAAGACTTCAAGTCAAGTTTGAATGAAGATTGTTATGCTCAATTGTGTGAGGATTCTCTATGTGCCTTAGATTCTGAATTGCTCTCATGTGAAAATAAAGTCTTGTTATTGTTGATGATAAAAATGTTGGGATGTGGAAAAGAACTTGAATTATGAAATGCGGCTAAGAGCCAAGTATGAAATGAGATAATCGATATAAAATGGTAATGTCTTGGGCAAGACGGCCTAGCCGATCGGACCGTGATCGGACGCCATGCCGCACACATGGTGGTGACTGTGCTGAAAAATTGAAACTGAAAATTGAAATTGAAATTGAATTGTGGTCGATGTCTCAAAAGAGACGGCCCAGCCGATCGGGTCGTGATCGGACTCCGTATAAGAATACGGTGGTATTGTGAATGATGGTATATTGGTACTAAAGACCTCCCAACCAAAAGCCGTGGAAATTACTTGAAAGCTTATGTGATTCTTTATTTGATGATATGGTACTGTTTAATGCTTTTATTGACTTTGTGATTATTCCTTATTGTATTATTGTTCATTCTAATGAGATGGTGTTTAGTTATACATACTAGTGCTATTCGACTGCACTAACGTCCCTTTTACCGGGGGTGCTGCATCTTTAATTGATACAAGCGTTTCCACAGCAGGCGACATCGATCAGTGTTAGCGGCATCCTCCTCCCAGCATTCTTGGTGAGCCCCAATTCATTTCGCGGTCATACATCTTTTGTTCCTTATGTACTGTACTTGAGATATAGTCGGGACTTTGTTGCCGGCACTTTTGTAGTACTCTTTTGTATCTATTTAGAGGCTCTGTAGACACTATGTGGGTTGTATATGGGTGCTGGGGAAATCAAACGAAAATATTATTGTGTTTGAATTATTTAATCCACTTCATGTTATGAAAAGATGTATATTTTGGAGGCACCAACTAATGACGCAACTAACGAAAATGACTTGGAATTGTGTTCATAATCTCCCTATTATTTAGTTAATAAAAATATGCATTCTCGTAATGCGTGAGTGTGTTGGGTAGAAAGAATCTGATGGGCTTGCTCAGCCGGGTTCACACAGTTGAGCGCCGGTCGTGCTCCCCGAGTTTGGGGCGTGACAACATTTCAATCTAATTCAATTGAACGTTTCTTTCAATTTTTTAAGAGCCTTAATGGCCTTAAGTTTCTAACGTTTTCTTGCCAACAATCAGATGTCCAATTTGGATTTCATATAATAAGTATATGTTTGTTTAATTGGAGGGTGTAACAAATAAACAAAGTTTATTTGTTTATTTCATATTTGGCGGGGGTGCTGTATCTTTAATTGATACAGGTGGTTCCACAGCATGTGACATAGATCAGTGTAAGCGGCATCTTCCTCCCAGCATTCTTGGTGAGCCCCAATTCATTTTCGGATCATACATCTTTTGTTCCTTATATATTGTACT